GGGAGGGGGGTCGGAAGGAGGGTCGGGCCAGAGTGCAGGCCCAACCCTGGAGGCCCCCCGCCTGCCCCCGAGCCTGCAGACCAGGTACTGTAGAGGATGTACATGGTCCAGTGCCCTCTGAGCCCCAGTAGGCCCTGATCTCTGGGGTCAACGCATTTGAACCCCTGCCCTTCAGTTCATCCCTTGACAGAGAGGTGTTCCGTCCTCTCCTGGCTGCCCTTGTGAATGCCCGGGTGCAGAATGGAGGTGCAATGTGGGTGCCGGGGGTTCAGGTCAGGGCGCAGCTGCCAGGAGTACTGGCCACCTTTTACTGTCTCGCATCTCCTGTGCCCCTGCACATGTTCAGGACAACAGTCTTCTGCCCAGAGGGGCTCATGGGCTGGCAGAGGCAGAAGGGGTGGTCAACAGTGGACAACGGGGTTCCAAGGAGGACCCAGAAGGCTTGGCTCTTATGGGGGGCAGGAAATGAGCATGCTTGGTGCTCAGGAGGGGTCCAGGCAGGGAAATGGGACTGGGCTCAGCAGCCAGGCACTAGACCCATCAGAACCCCTTGGCTTGGCTGGGTGCTGGGAGCACGTTTGAGGCAGGGTCCTGCCTGGGGTCCTGGAGGCCTCCTGGGACATAGGAGACAGAGCTGGGCAGGCGGGGGCCAAGCCTGGGGCAGGGCTTGGCAGGGGTGGGAGCTGGAAGAAGGGGAAGAGTGGGTGGTGAGGGATCCTAATGATGTCCTGAATCACGGGTGGGGATGGGGGTGGGGAGCGGGGCTGCCTAGCCATGGCAGGACTGTGGGCACCACCCTGATGACCCATTCCTCGGACCCCAGCCCAGAGGCTGAGCGAGCACGTCCCCGCCAGGCCTGGCCTGTGACCCCCATGGAAGGAACAATGCAGTTACTGAGTCGAGAGGGCCACAGCGTGGCCCACAACTCCAAGCGGCACTACCACGATGCCTTCGTGGCCATGAGCCGCATGAGGCAGCGCGGCCTCCTGTGTGACATCGTCCTGCACGTGGCCACCAAGGAGATCCGTGCCCACAAGGTTGTGCTAGCCTCCTGTAGCCCCTACTTCCATGCCATGTTCACAAGTAAGTTCGAGGCCCGCTGGGGGCAAGCTGAGAGCATCCGCAGGCCCCCCAGGGCCGAGATGGGGCTGACTCGCTGTCCCCACAGACGAGATGAGTGAGAGCCGCCAGACACACGTCACACTGCACGACATCGACCCGCAGGCCCTGGACCAGCTGGTGCAGTTTGCGTACACAGCTGAGATTGTGGTGGGCGAGGGCAATGTGCAGGTGAGACCCCTGGCCCCTGTGTGCCGTTGTGACACCCTGCCCTGGTCCCTGTGCCTCCCCGATGCCTGCTGTACCCCTATGTCTTTTCTCATGTCATGTCTACCCACCCCCCACCATTCCTCTGCCCTGGACCCTCCTTCCCACCTCGATTCTATCACTGCGCCTGCAGACGCTGCTCCCTGCTGCCAGCCTGCTGCAGCTGAATGGCGTCCGCGATGCCTGCTGCAAGTTCCTGCTGAGTCAGCTTGACCCGTCCAACTGCCTGGGCATCCGGGGTTTTGCCGACACGCACTCCTGCAGTGACCTGCTCAAGGCGGCGCACAGGTATGTGCTGCAGCACTTCGTGGACGTGGCCAAGACCGAGGAGTTCATGCTGCTGCCTCTGAAGCAGGTAACGCCGCCTTGGACCCCAGCCTGGGGCCCGACCTTGACCCTCGCCGTGACCGCCCAATTCCATCCCTGCTCCAGCTCTGCCCGCTTCCCCAGACCCCAGGCCCTCTGGACTCTGCTTGGTCCCTCTCCTGGAGCCCTGGCCCCTGGCCAGGTCCATCCTCCCTCTCAGGTACCCTCAGGGCTCCTCCCTGCCCTGCCCCCAGCCCAGCCTAGCCTGAGGCCCCGCCCCCAGGTGCTGGAGCTGGTCTCTAGTGACAGCCTGAACGTACCCTCCGAGGAGGACGTCTACCGGGCCGTCCTGAGCTGGGTCAAGCATGACGTGGACGCTCGGAGGCAGCACGTCCCGAGGGTGAGGCATGCCTTGGGCACCCACAGGCCAGGTGGGGGTACAGGTGGCTGAGGGGATTTTGTGGTTTGGGGACCTGGCGCCAGCTCCCATCTGTCCAGGGGTGCAGTGACCGAGGAGGGGTGTGGGAGCTCTCGGGGGGACCCCAGGACTGAGCTGTGAGTCCCCAAAACCGGCTCTCACCTGGCACATACACCCCCCCACCCCCCCAGCTGATGAAGTGCGTGCGGCTGCCCCTGCTGAGCCGAGACTTCCTGCTGGGCCACGTGGACGCCGAGGGCCTGGTGCGGCACCACCCCGACTGCAAGGACCTGCTCATCGAGGCCCTCAAGTTCCACCTGCTGCCCGAGCAAAGGGGCATCCTGGGCACCAGCCGCACAAGGCCACGCCGCTGCGAGGGCGCTGGCCCAGTGCTCTTTGCTGTGGGTATGCCTGCGTCCACTATGTCCCCACACCTTCAGCATCTACTCCAGTGGCCACTGTGTCCCCGCCTACACGCACACAGTGTCCCCGAGGCCCTGCCCGCACTGCCATATCCCCACCATATATCCGTGCACCTGTCTTTTTCTGTGGCCACCGTGTCGCCGCTATTGCTGCCCACATGCCTGCCACATAGCCACCAAGCCCCATGATGTTCCTCACAACCCCACCCACATCTGCCACCTTCTTAGCCGTCCTCCCTAAATCCTTATGCTCATGGGGTCACCCCTCCCAATGTCCACTCAGTGCCCACAGTGCCACCGGCCACATTCCCACGCCCCTCCAGCACGGTCCATCCCCACACCACCACCTCCCTGGTCCCACCCCACCCCCACTGCACTCTGCTTCTGCCTCCACAGCCCCCATATTCCCAGACCTGCCGCATGCTCATCCCATCCCCACCTGTCCCCATCTCCAGCCTGGAGCCTCTCCCGGACCCTGTGCTGAACGACCACCCCAATAGACCCTGGACCCCTTCCGCCCTCAGGTGGCGGGAGTCTGTTTGCCATCCACGGGGACTGCGAGGCCTACGACACACGTACTGACCGCTGGCATGTGGTGGCTTCCATGTCTACGCGCAGGGCCCGGGTGGGAGTGGCGGCCATCAGCAACCGGCTATATGCTGTGGGCGGGTAAGCCGGTCGGAAGAGTTGGGGGTCAGGTGTGGCGGATGCCTTCCGGGCCACCTCTGACTGCAGCGGGGTCTCCCCCCCAGCTACGACGGGACCTCAGACTTGGCCACCGTGGAATCGTATGACCCTGTCACCAACACATGGCAGCCTGAGGTGTCCATGGGCACGAGGCGCAGCTGCTTGGGTGTGGCCCCCCTACACGGATTACTCTACGCGACTGGTGGCTACGATGGGGCCTCCTGCCTCAACAGGTGCAGGAGCCAGGCTGGACTACCAACCTTCTGGTCCCCCCAGCTCAAATAGGCTTCCCTGGGGTCAGTGGGCAGCCTAAGCCAGTGGACTCTGGGGGTGGGGCTCCGCTGGGATTTGGTCCAGAGACACAGAAGGTCAGGTCCAGGCCTGAACCACCTCCCCAGCTGCACTTGAGGTCACCAAGGTCCTTGGTCTGCAGTGCTGAGCGTTATGACCCCCTGACGGGAGCATGGACCTCCATCGCTGCCATGAGTACCCGGAGGCGCTACGTACGCGTGGCTACACTCGGTGGGTGACTAGCTGCTGGCATTTGACCCACCCCTGTCTGTTCCTCTTTCCCTGGGGGCCCCAGCATGCAGTGGGCACTCAGAGGCATCTCTGCTTCCAGACGGGAACCTGTACGCTGTGGGCGGCTATGACAGCTCGTCACATCTGGCTACCGTGGAGAAATACGAGCCCCAAGTGCGTGATGGGCCCAGCCACAAGCCACCGCCCCCCAACCGCCACCTTCCAACCTCCTGACCTCCATCCCCTCCCAATGGCCGGGTTCCCTTTCCCCTAACCACTGCCACCTCCTGGTGGCTGATTCCTGTTCCCTGATTCACCGTCCATCCGTCGGTGCCCCTGAACCATTCTCCTCACTGCCGTGACCTCCACTGCTTCCTCCCACCATTGCCACGCCTACTCAGTGCCTTCAGCCCAGCACCTGCTGCCCGCAGGTGAATGCGTGGACGCCTGTGGCCTCCATGCTGAGCCGGCGCAGCTCGGCTGGTGTGGCTGTGCTGGAGGGCGCACTCTACGTGGCCGGAGGCAATGATGGCACAAGCTGCCTCAACTCGGTGGAGAGATTCAGCCCCAAAGCCAGCGCCTGGGAGAGTGTGGCCCCCATGAACATTCGCAGGTCTGTGGGCACGGGTGGGGTGGGAGCCTGCGGGTGGCCCTGGGCCTGTATCCCAGGGAGGAATGACCTTTGGAGATGTCCATTGGGCCCCCAAGAAGGCGGTGTCGCATCCTGCCAGAGACCCACCCTGGGCTCACTGCTAGCTGGCACCCACCCTCTCTCGCCCGGCCCCTAGGAGTACACATGACCTGGTGGCCATGGACGGCTGGCTGTATGCTGTGGGGGGCAATGACGGCAGCTCCAGCCTCAACTCCATCGAGAAGTACAACCCCCGGACCAACAAGTGGGTGGCCGCATCCTGCATGTTCACGCGCCGCAGCAGCGTGGGCGTGGCCGTGCTGGAGCTGCTCAATTTCCCTCCGCCCTCCTCGCCCACCCTGTCCGTGTCCTCCACCAGCCTCTGACCCGCCGGGGCCGTGCGCGCCCCGCCCACATGCCTTAAGCCCCACCCCGGGCGGCCTCAGCTCCTCCCTCCCCCTTACGATTTGAGGCAGGGTCCTCAGCCCGTCCACCAGGGACGCTGGGCACCTTGAGCCGCATCTGTGTCTGTGTGTGCGTCCCTGTGTTAATTTATTCACGCGCGCCTTTATTTATTCACTTATTTATTGCCCAGCAAGCACCGCCACCGCTCCCATTTGTCTGTGTATCCTCCAAGTGTTTGGGACCCGTGGCTGTAGGACCACGCTGCCCTCCCCAGGGGGCCTGCGGTCCACGCCCGCCCTTGGGCGCAGCAGTGGTGGGGAGGACACCCACACTGCCCCCTGGAGGCGCAGCCAGCCTTGGGGAGAGGGTGAAGGGTGGGGGGTGGCTCCGTCTCCCCTGAGCAGGTGTAGACCCCCACCTGTGTGCCAAGCCCCTCTTTCCGTGTCCATGTCCCGCTCCTGGGCCTGCACTTGAGTGGGGCCGTGTGCACGCCTCTGCACTGCGCGTGCGCAGACCCAATGTAGCAATACGTACCGGCTCCCGTAATAAATTCGTCTCTTGGCCCCATGGGCTTGTGGCTGAGCCTCTGTCGCTGGGCGGCCGGCAGCTGGAGGACGGGTCAGGTGGGCCCTGTCCTTCCGGATAGGTCCACTGGAGGGCATCTGTGGAGGATCTATTGGGGTGTATTTTCGGGGGGGGGGCATTGAAGGGGTCCGTAAAGGACACCTCTAGCAGCAGTGCCATGGGACACCTTGCCCCACAGCCCCAGATGCGTGGAGGGCGGACCCAGGGATGCCCTGAGAGGGGATTGTCCCACAATTCTCAAGGTGGGGGGCCAGGGGGGCCGGGAGACTACTCCCTCCTGGGCTCTGTCTCAGCCAGCATGCAGGGCCTGGGGAGGAGAGGTAATGAAGAGCCCCGGCTCCCAGTCCCCACCCCCCACGAGGCCCGTCCTGCTCCCTGGGATGAGGGTGCCCAGTCACCGATGACTCAGAGCCTGGGGACTGAGGTGGAAACAGGATGTGTGCCCATCGGGGGCACTGGGAGAGGACTTGGCCCACCAGGTCCCTGGTTCTCAGAAGGTCACTGCTCACCTGGGGGGATGTCACTGGGTTGTCTGGACGTCACCCAGGGGGTCATAAGGCTCACTCTGAATGCCATAGGGGTCATGGCTCACTTGGGGGTCCACAGGCTATCCATTACTGGGCTCATGGGGATATTGAGTTCCTCAGGGGCCTGGGTGGTGAGTCACGGGGTTCTCAGAGCCCCCGGTGCCCCCACTCTATGAGTGCAGGTCATTGTGATCCTTCAGAGTACTGGGTGGAAACAGGATGTGTGCCCATCGGGGGCACTGGGAAGGGATTTGGCCCACTAAGCTTCATTGGTCCCCCAGCGTACTGGAAGCTGAGATGAGGCTCTGGTTCAGGACCAGTGCCCGGTGTCCGGCTAGTCCCTCACGTGTAGACAGACAGGAAAGGGTTCAGGTAGACCCCTCCCTCCAGAATGGACTCCGCCCCCACCGGCTTGCTGGGCAGGACGTCCCAGGCCGGCCGGCCCCACCCTCCGAAGGAGGTGGAGGAGGACCTGCTCCTGCTCCGGAGCACCCAGCACTGCTCGGCGGCCAGCCTATGGGGAACAGCCAGTGCGTCCCCCAGGCCCCCAGGAGGCTCCGAGCCTCCTTCTCCAGGAAGTCTTCGCTAAAGGGCACCAGGTAAGGGGTGGGGTGTAGGGGGGCAGTCTGGTCACCGCTACCGGGTCCCTGTTCCCCACACCCCACACCCCCACACCCTCACCACCACTGGTCTGTGAGCCCTGCTTTCTGGTCTCCAGAGAGGATGGTGCGAAGAAGCTGGCGAGCCTGTTTGGCAGCGAAGTTGGCCCCGATGGGGACTCGGCGGCTGACAAGATCTTCTACTACATCCCTGGGACGGTGAGCGGGGTGGGGGTGGGGGTGCCGTACACCAAGGGGACGGGGACAGAGTCCTCCACTGTGTCCTGGGGACAGCGAGCGGGAGTGGCCGGCTGGGGGTGTCAGTGGACCCTGTCATCAGTATGACGCAGGTTGTGGCGCCGCCCACCTGGGTGGCTGTGGCTGTGCTTGGCCCAGGGGCTCCCCCAGCCTAGGGGGAGTTCAGATCCCAAGAGAGCGGGAGGCGGACCCCGCCCCCTGGGCCCCTCCACCGAGAGTCTGGGGAGAGCGAAACCGGCCGGCCTGCTGACTGAGTCAGGCAGGCTGCGTGTGCGGCACCGGGAAGGGGCGGGGCAGCGGGGCGGGGCCCAGGCACCCGGGCACCCAGGCCAGCGTCCAGACCTGCAGCTCGCCTGCCCGGCCTGCCCAGTCCGCACACTCAGGAGTACAGGCTGAGCACCCACAACCCTAATCACTGTTTGGGGACTGATGCCAAGGGCAGTGGCTGTGTCATCACTCGGAGAGTAAGGGGGTGCCTTGACGGTGGTTCTGCTGGACCCAGTTTGTGGGGGGAGGGGGTAAGGGTTAGTGTAGCCCGGAGGGAGAGGGAGAGATGTCCAGAGACAAGTTGGTGCCTAGTTGGGGCTCCTCAGGCCCTGGGATGCCCCCTCCCCACCCTACTGCAGCTTCCTGGAGCGGGGCTGACACTCCGGGGCCAGGCGGCAAGGGTGGCAGGGAGGGGGAAGGCAGAAGTTCCTCCTCAGAAAGGAACAGACATGAAAGGAAACCCCCTTGCTGCCCACTCAATTGCGACTCATCGTGACCCTGGACCAGCATTCTGGAACTGTACATCCGTGCCAGAAGCAGACAGCTTCATCCTTCTCCTGCACATCGGCTGGTGGTTTTGAACCTCTGACCCTATGGTTTAGCAGTCCAGTGGCGACCCCAGGGCTCCTTCGATAAAGGAAACAATCCTCCCCCATTAATTTCAGGGGGAGGAGTTCAACCTGTTCTCAGGGCCTCGCCCCCGCCCCCACCACCACCACATACACACATATCCTTCCCCCTGTGTCCCTGTGACAGCTGAGACAACTCCCCTCCCATCACGCTCTCCTAGGAGGGGGCGCTGGTTCTGGCAGCTGGCCTCCTCACCCCCACCCCCACCCAGGCCCTGGACATGTCCGGTGGCCCTGGCCATCCTCCTTTTGAATGCACAGGGACTGGAGGGCAATGAGCTTGTTGAGCCTGGGCAGGTGGACGGCAGCCATCCTGGGTGGGTATCTGGTTCCGTGGCCTATTTTCAGGTGTCAGCTCCCACACTGGGTGTGTCTGCGGAAGCCCCACCCAGGGGCAGGGTGGCCAGGGAAGCCGTGCGTCTGTTCACATTCCTGGGATTGCCCAAGAGGTGGCTCAGCTTGGCAGCCCCCAAAGGGAGCATGGCCCCTACTGGATACTCGCAGCCCCCACCTCACTCTCAGCTCAGGCCCTCTGCTTCCCCATCCGGCAATCTGACCCCGTTGTACAGGCTCTGTATGCAGGACGTTAGATGGACGTGGGCCCCCCCTCCAGGTCCCTCTTCCCGGGCTCTGATCCAGGGGGGGCCCTGCTTACCAAAGCCTCCTGGGAAATTCAGCAGTAGGCAAGGTAGGCAAAGATTCCTATCCTCGGGGTCCACACAGCAATCAGCTGACAAATACCAAGTAGGATGCAGCAAGCTAGCTCTGGGGGGTTGCTACTGCAGGAGAGGGCTGGGGTGGGCGGGGTGCTCTCAGCAAAGCTTTGGGGGACGTGGGAGGGGGCTGGGTGACCAAGCAGAGGCAACAGTGTGTGAAAAGGCCCAGAGGGAGGCAAGGGGCGCATCATGGAGGACACCCTCCCTCAGCCCCCACCCTGATCGGGACCTTAGCTTTGATGTGTGTGAGGTGAGAGAGACCGCCTGGGGTACCCCAGGAACTGGGGAACCCACTGCTCGGGAGTCTTCCAGCTCCAGCTCCACGGGCGGCATACTGGTAGCTTGAGAGGGTAGGCGTCTTCACACGACAGAAACTGGCACATGTTGGCAGCTGGGGCCATGTGGTGGAAGTACGGAGGCCCGCCGATGGGAAACCTGAACCGGCCCTCCTGGACACACAGGAGGGTGTGTAGTCACCTCACCCAACCCCTCAGGCCCCTGGGACTGATGCGCCTTGCCAGGTGAGGTGAGCACACCAAGGTCACCCGCTGAGAAGCACCGCAGGGAAGAGTGGATGGAGCCTGCTGGAGGCCAAACCTCACCATCCCCACCGCTCGGCTAGAGCGCCGTGTGCAGGCCGGGGGACAGAGGGCTGTGACCGACTCCACACGTGCCTCCCTGCCCCGGAGATGATCAGTGAGACGTCCCACCCTTGTTTCCGTCCGTCACGCCCTTGGTGTGAGCACCATGTTACCCAAGCTCTCACACACCCCACCCCGACGTCCTCAACCTTGTGCCATTTCGAGTCTTGTTGCTAATTCTCTGCTTGACTTCTCCTGCCGGACAGGCCCGTCCCAGTGCCTAGGTCAGGGCCCTGCCAGCGGCGGGTGCTGAGGCAGTGTCTGTTGGGGGCCTGGGCCCCTTTGGTGCAGATGAGCCTGTCACCAGGTCCTTGCAGCCTCGGGCACAGGGCTCAGCCTAGAGAGCGCTGCTGCCCCTGAGCTCTGCCCTCTCCCACAGGACATCCCGGGCCTGGAGGGTCAGCGAGAAGCCCTGGACCAGCCGTTTCTGAGTGTGTTCAAGAAGGGGCGGCGGAGGGTGCCCGTGAGGAACCTGGGCAAGGTCCTGCACTACGCCAAGGTCCAACTGCAGTTCCAGCACAGCCAGGTGGGGGCCTGGGCAGGTGAGGGATACCCTGGGGACCTGCCTCTTGCTACCGCTGGACCCTCATCTTGCCTGCTCCTCCCCCTGCCTCCCTCAGGAACCCAGTGACTGCTACCTGGAGCTGTTCCCCTCCCACCTCTACTTCCAGGCTCACGGTTCTGATGGACTTACTTTCCAGGTGAGGGAAGAACAGGCGGGGTAGTCTTCCCCATGGACAGTGGAGGGGGTCGGGAGGAAGCAAGACAGCCGACGCTCAGGGTGGCGGGAGCAGGCCCATGTGGCCCCCGAATCTCCCTGTCCTCACCTCGTCCATGCCTTGGCAGGGGCTGTTACCTCTGATGGAGCTGAGCGTGTGTCCAGTGGAGGGGTCTGGAGAGCACGCCTTCCAGATCACAGGTGGGGGGCCCCAGGAGGCCCGTTGGGGGTCCTGGAGCTAACTGCTGCACCGATTCCCACTGGGCTATTCAGTGCTTTAAGGCCCAATCGGACCAGGCCCCACATGTGGACAACAGCAGTAGACACACTGATTAGGGTTCTTGCCAGTCCTCGGCTTCTGCCGGGCAAGGACCAGCACATGGGTGGGTTAGCCTCCAGTGGAGGGGGTCCCCACAATGGTGGTGTGGTTGCCTCCCCTGGGGCCCCCTTCTTTCCTGAGGCCCCCCCACTTCTGGCCGCCCACTGCCTGCTCACCTACTGCAGGCCCACTGCCCGCCCCTCTCCTCGTCCTCTGCCCCAGCGCTGCTGAGCGTGCCCAGTGGCTGTACCACCTGGAGAAGCAGATGGCCCTTGCTGGGGGGCTGCGGCGCTGCCACTCGGCGCCCTCCCAGGTCAGTGCCCGACTCCCACCCTGCCCCATCCCATCCTTCCTCTTCCTTGGCCCGTACTAATCCCCGTCCCCAACCTTTTGTCAGGGCCCCGGGGACGAGCTGCCCTGGACGCTGCAGCGCCGGCTGACTCGGCTGCGGAAGGCGTCAGGACATGAGTCAAGGGGCCCTGCCATCTGTGCCTCCAGGGTCAAGCTGCAGCATCTACCCTCTCAAGTGGGCAGTGTGGACGAGAGGGGTTGCCGGGGACCAGGGGGGCATGAGAACCCTGGAGGGCAGAACAAGGGCGGTGGCTGAGGGAGCTCGGGGAGGGTCCTGGGAGTGGAGCAAGGGGGTTGGGGGAGGCTTGTAAGGACCCAGGGGGGTAGGGCAAGAGGACAGACAAAAGGGGGCAGGAGGAGAGGCTGTGAGCACCCTGAGGGTGGGGGAGCAGGTGACCTGGGCCTCAGTGCCTCTGCCTCTTGCTGCCAGGAGCTGTGTGACCGCCTGCTGGTCCTGTACCCCACCTCCCTGGTCATCTTCTCTGAGGAACTAGATGGGCTCTGCTTCAAGGTGGGCTCCTCCCCTCTCTGGCAGCCAGCCCAGGGAGGTGCCCTGTGCGTGGGGGTGGGAGGGGGCCGAGTCTCAGGAGGAACCTGTATTTCAGGGCCTGTTGGAACAGTGTGCTGGCCCCGCCCACCCTGCCCCACTGCCCTGGCCAGTCTGTTTTCAGCTCCAACATGGACACAAAAGAGCCCCTGCTTTGGGCACCCGTGTTGTCCCTGAGCAGTGACCCTCGGTGTCCTGTCACACTTTCCCCGGCTCCCAGCCCTCCCCACGGAAAGCCCGCTGAGCCTTTGTGAGTCTGAGTGTGCATGTGTGTGTGAGATACCACATATCTGCGCCTGTGTGTGCGTGTGACCCAGTTTGATGTGCACGTGTGAGTCTGTGTGCATGTGAGATGATATGTACCTGTGTGATCCTCCTCACGGGTGATTA